TCTCTCAAACATCTGCTAACACAACAGTTGCTGCCTGTTCTGAGGCCTGCTCAGGGAGGTTTGGGGACTCAGTGTGTGGGCAGCTGCAATCAATCAAACCTCTGTTTCGGCATCCCGACCCCTCCCCACAAACATCTTGCTTCTGTTTGAAGCACTGTTGAGAAGTACAATTTGTTGCTCTTTCAAGATGACCAGCTTGGAGTTAAAAATACAGCAGGGACTATGACACCCAGGGGGACTGCATTCAATGGGTGATCTTTTTAATTGTTGCTTTTTTCTGAAATCTTTGCTCACACACACATGTGATCTATGTCTAAATGGCCTCATATAGCTCAAGTCTTGCTGGGAGCCAACCAATGCTGGGTGGTCAAACCAGGTCTCAAAAAAGCAGTAAGGAAAATGTCAGCAAAAGTCCTGCTAATAAACGAGTCACACCCTCAGGCTGGGCCCTGCCCTCAATGGCACACATTGTCATTCTGCAAAAGGAAGGCTGCAGCCTCACAGAGAACACCAGCCAGGAGGGCCAAAAACACCATGTGAGGAGGAAAGCTGTGCAGGAGGCCCACGGGGCCAGGCTTGCGCAGGGATAGCAGCACAGCCAGTCCTCTGTGCTGCCTTTGGGCAACTTGCTCTGTGGAACCAAGTGGTTGTAATTACAAGTACAGGGAGGGCGGCCACTGCGGGACTAGGTCCCTGCGTCATTTCCCCCATTAGGGCTTTCCTCACTACAGTCAGTCTCCCCGACTCAGGATCCAGATGGCCACCTCACCTGCAGCCTCATTCAGCATCTCTGCCTGCTCTCTTGGCATTGGGGTTTTAAGAAGACATGAGCAAAGACAATCTGAAAGCAATGTTGACACCCCACCCTGTGCGTCTCATCCCCAACAGACAAGAGTTAACTGGGACAGCTGTCCCCCAGGGATGCGGCTAGGAAGGGGTAGGGTGGCCAGCGCGCCCCCGGGATATTTCCACCCTCGTTTCAAGGGTGACAGATAGGAGAATGCTCACACACGGCCAACTTCCTCTGGCAAGGGGGGGGCGAATCCAATTCTGTCACCATTTCATAACCCTGGGCTCTGAACACAGAGTTGACTGCAGGCTGGGCTGAGCTGAGCTGCAGGGCCGGCCTCCTTCCCATTTACAAAAGAAAAGCGATGAGGCAAGAAGACAAACAAACAAGACACAGAAAGTGGCATGAACAGAAAAGGGAGGATGGAAACACAGGGAAAACGGTGGACAAACAAAGAAAAATAGGCATAGGCATTCTTTTTTTTTTTTTTTTTTTTTTTTGAGACGGAGTCTCACTCTGTCACCCAGGCTGGAGTGCGGTGGCGTGATCTCAGTTCACTGCAAGCTCCGCCTCCCGGGTTCACGCCATTCTCCTGCCTCAGCCTCCCGAGTAGCTGGGACTACAGGCGCCTGCCACCACGCCCGGCTAGTTTTTTGTATTTTTAGTAGAGACGGGGTTTCACTGTGTGAGCCGGGATGGGATGGTCTCGATCTCCTGACCTTGTGATCCGCCTCGGCCTCCCGAAAAATAGGCATTCTCATAGCAGACTGAGGGCACCTCCCAGGAACGTCCACCCTCTGCTCCTACCTCTGCCTCTGGAGGCACCCAGAAGCAGCCCACACCTTCCCTCCAAGTCCCGTGACTGTGACGATGATCATGAGTATCTGTCAGCACCCAGCCTGTGCCAGCCAAAGCACTGGGTGGGGGGGGGGTGTGTGTACATATAGACACAGACACACACACACATATCAACAGATGTGGACACACACATATATAAACACACACCCATATGGATAGCGCATTATCCACAGTTGTTTCTCTTGCTCCTCCCACAATCCTGTGGCAGTGGTGGCATTTGCTGCACAGACATGTCAAGCAATTTGCCTAGGGCTTCCAGTCTCCGGCCCCACCTCTGGAGGCCTTCTAGTGTGTCAATGTCGCCTTCTAAATGCAGATCCAAAAGTGAACACCATGCCCAAAAGAGCCCTGGCAAGCATAGGGACCAAGAGAGCTTCAGTTTCCTCAAGAGGGACTGGAATGGACAAGCTCTGAGGTCACATCTCCTGACATCCTCTGCTTCTAGCACAGAGTCTACACCCCAGGGCACTTGCTCCTGCTGAACTCAACTGTGGATACAGATGAGGGCAGGGCCTTGGACCTCGGAGCTTCCTGCCCTCTTACTCTCTTGGGTTCTCTCCCTGGACCCTTTCCTGCGGGCAGGCTGGAGGGGCTCCAGCTACCACAGTCCATCTGGCCATATCGAATCATGGCCAGAGGGAAGACCCCATGTACTCACGCACACCCTCAAGATCTTCTCTGGGCCCCAGTCGGGGCCTCTAGGGGAGCTGGGGCTCTTCAGAATGGCCAGCTGCTCCAAAGGTCTAACTGAAAAGGCCTTCTGCAGACTCTCACACACCTGGCCTCAGAACCCACATACGAAGGGCGCCTTTACAAGAATGCACAAGTGGAGCTCTCACCCCCAAAGGCAATGTGTAAACCAAGATCAAAAGGCCCACGAAAGAGAAGCCAGAGCCCAGCGGAAGGAAGCATGGGCCACACCTGGGTACAAGCCTACCCTTCCAAAGATATGGAAAGCCCAACTCCAAGTCTTGCCTCCATGGGCATGCAGAGCAGACCCCAGCCCCTTCTCAGTGGTCCCAAATGTTGAGTGAAGCCACAGCATGTAGAAACTGGGGTCTGTGGCTAGTGGTCTAACCTCAGTGGCCATCTAGCAACATGTTAGTCCTTGTACACCAGCAACATGCCCAGCTCATCAGGTTACCATGCACGAGGCCCTGCACTATCCAGGGCTCTTGATAAATGCATAGTATGGATACCCTAGGCCTCGTTCTCAGGGCCCCACAGAAAAGCAAGGCCCACCTCCCCAGGCTAGAAATCAACTGATGATGGAGCCAAAGCAGGCCGAGCCCCATGAAAAGAGGGCTGACTAGGGTCTAGACTCTTAGTGGGGGCATGGCTCAGCGTTCACGGGCCCAGCCTCAGGGCTCTGGCCATAGGCCTTGGGCACACACACTTTCCAGAGGCCCCTCTCTACTTTCCCTGTGCTCAAGACCCGCTGCCAAGAAGGCGGCCAAGGACAGACAGGCTGAGCCAGAGCAGCCTCCTCAGGTTCCACACACCTTCCCAGATCTGGGAGGCCTGCCTGGGGCCAATGAAGCCATCTATACAACTGGGCACAGCCCCACTGAGCATTGTATTTTTAAATAGTATCTAACCAAACGAGGTCAAGAAATGTCTCCAATGATGCCAGTGGTGTTATTCCAGCTGTGGCTAGTAACATATAATAACATGTATGTTGTTTTTATTATCTATCTACTCATTAGGTAATAAAATATGCTCAGCATTAAAAATGTAACTGAAGCATTATCATACCCAGAACTCTGGGCTCTGGGTTTTCCTCAGAAGTCACCCAAATCTGTCACCTTTCCAGACTTTTTACCTATTTACATTTTTCTGGAGAAGGGAAATTCCTCTTGGTGTCCAATAAATGCGTTCAATCCCTGTCCAGCTAGTAAAGTCAAGAACGTTCCACTACACTGCAAAAAGAACGGCACACGCCTGGAGCCACGATGGAAGAAATGGAAACCAGCTGAGGAGGGGCAGGAGCGCTGACCCACACCCCTTCAGGCTCTCCCCCAGGCGGATCCCACTGACACAGGGGAGGAACGAGCACACCACCATCTTGCCCTCCCACTGCCCCAGCCAGTGCCCAGGCTCTTGAACAAAGGTAGCCAGAAAGTCTGGACTCTGGGGCCAGATATGCTCTAGACTTAAGACACCTGCACCTCTTCTTTTCTGGATAGACCTCTATGTTGGGAGTAGGAACTAAAGGAGAGAAGAACAAAACCCCATGAAGAGAAACTGCACATTCTTTGTAAAAGGAAAGAAGATCCAATTGAGAAAACAACATTGGGCTTGGAAGGAAGTCAGCTATGCCCGCCCAAAACACAGTGAGCACGATGAGCCCGCCTGCCCTGGATGTGGCCATAGTGCTGAGTGACCAAGGCCAATCCCTCTGAAACCATCCTCACCAACAAGAAGATCTTCACCCCTTGAAACCCAGTGAGACCAATGTTTACATAAATAATTCCAGAAAAGATGATGGTCAGACTGCGGCATTAAGCAACTGACAGCTCCTAGATGAACACAGAGCCAATAGTGTTGTGGCCCATCACATCCACCCATCCTTGAGTCAGAGGTCACAAGGGCCAGCACCACTTCCTCATCCCCAGCCAGAACCAGATGCAGCCAACTCTCAGGCTCAGAGACGCTCCTGATGACAGAGTATGAACTCCCAAGTTCATCTCATTCAAATCAATATCCAAGATCAGTGTTAGCACAAGGCAGAGCTCCAAGACAAAGAGGATAAAGTCCAAGTGACAGGGGCGTGTGGCCAGATACTTCTACAGCAAAGGGCAAGGATGACTGCAGAGGCAGCTCAGAGAATGTTGGTCACAGCATCTTGAGGGCCTCACATTTCAACAGTTTAATCGAAGGAATAAGCTCTCCACAATCACTAGCTCTCGGAAACCATTACCCACACCCCTGATCTCAGGACCAGCAAAATCCAAGGGACACTGAATGCCAGTGTGTGTAAACGTTTCCTGCAGCAGCTGCAGGGGCGGCTTCCTGGGAGAGACGGCTTCAGTGAAGGGCCAGAGGGGAACACCTGTGTTTGGTCCAGTGAGTCTGCCCACCAACAGCCCACCTCTCCCCATCCACCTGCCCTTGTACCCCTAGCACTGCACTCACAGTGAAAGGGAATATTTGGTTGTAAATAGAAAGAAATAAACGCTTTTAAAAAACCAACTGGAAATAATCTTTCTTTGAAAAGGATTTTTAAAAACAAGGAAACTAACCCACTCCTGGGTATTTCTGAAACTGGTGTTCTATGCTTGTCTAGGACGGCCCAGACCCAGCAGAGGCTCCAGTGAGCACCAAGGTGACTCCAGGATGCTGGGGCTCTTACCTGTGCCATCTTGGCAAGGTCTAGAGAAGGCCTCTGCTCTTGCACTTCTTCAGGGCGCCGCCTTTTAACACCGACCTTCTTATCGTTAAGGACACACGGCTGGGAGCGGCTGCGGGAAAGGCCGCTGGAGCGTCTTGCCAGCTCTGGCGTGGAGGCAGGTGTGCTGTTGGCTGAGGGAGGACAGTATTCCACAAAGGAAAACTGCTCATGTGAGCAAGAGAGGGACCGTTGCAGGTCCAGCCGGCCCCCTCCCATGGGGTGCGGGTCAGGGTTCCAGGTGTCACCTGCCTGTCCACCCGGGGCTGAGCCTGGCACCCCTTGGCAGGGCTGCCCTCCAAATCGATGGTGGAGTCCTGCCTGGTCGCAGGGTGAGGAGAGCACGTTGGCCCGGGAAGGGAGGCTGAAGCTGGAGCTCCTCTGCATGGTGCTGAAGCCGTTGGAATAGCGCTGGACGCTGCCCCCACTGTAGCAGCGTCTCTTTTCCACAGGAGTCCAGACTTTGGAGCCCAGGGGCCTCCATGATGTCCGGCAGCTGGACATCTCATCGGAAAAGGACAGTGAGCGGCACTGACGCTTGCTAGGGGGTGCTGAGGGGTTCCCGTTGTGGTCGCTGATGCTGAGGTCTTTGATCAGACTGGTCACAGCACAGGCGGTCACTGCCTCCCGGTGCCATAGTGAGTTGTCCTTTTCAGGCAGGCATTCCCAGATGCTGGTGCTCGGTTGGTCAATCTGAAGAGGGCATTTCCTGTCCAGGTCTCGCCATCTGTCATTTTCTGGTTCATAAATGACAAGGAGAAAACAGGATTTGAGAAGGCCTTCGCTCCAGCCCTTTAATATCTCCACACCAACAGCCCGTTTCAAACACAGTATCTTAGAGCCAAAAGGCCCTTAGAAACCATCCAGTCCAACCTCATTTTACAGATGAGAAACTGAGGCTCAGAGAGGAGAAGTGAATCTCAAGGCTTTGAGTTGGAAGTTGGAAGCGGAGCAGGGCCTAGAATCCAGATACACCCCTGGGACTCCTGATATGGTTTTCTTTCCAGTGTACCATACTGTCTCCCAGGAGAATCCAAAGCAATATTTTTCATCCAAAATGCTTTCTCATCTTATGGGTGGGAAACCAACTTGCCCTGAGCCCTGCCCTGGCCAGTAAGAGAGTCAGGACAAGACATACGTTAAGTGCCACTGGGTTCTCTGCAGTTCTCAGGACAGGGACTCGATGCCCTGGCAGAAGACCACAACCAAAGATGTCTCAACACCTCAGATGGCCAAGGCCAAAAGATGGCTGGGGCACTGCCAGGTTAGTTCACCCCAATTCCACCTTGAAAGCCTTTGCTAATAGAAGCTGGAGCTGGTACTGATTTAGATCACCTCCATCAAAATGCTCAACATCGATGTCACCAATGGCTGCCAATCACAGCATTTTCTCTGTGTTCACTCGATTTTTCACTTAAAGCAATTAAAATCTATAAGAACAAGTCTTGGGCTTCACAGACTTAAGGGCACCACTTAAACTTATGTATTCAGGTCTTTACTTGAATACACAAATAAATAACCTATCCTGCTATGAAATGCTACATTTGCACTTGAACCTTTATTTTGTGAAATATTCAAGAACTATTTACTGTTTTTCTACTATGAAATCAGGCACCATGTGGGGAATTTTAGGAGATGCAAAGATAAATTTGACATAGTTCTTGTATTCAAGTCTACAGTATAAAAGCAAAGTTAAGAAATATGCCATGCTGTCAGGGAACAACCTGTTAGTACTATTTTCTCGAACCTATATATATTTATAAATCATGCACATGTGAATGGTTTGAGTCAGTCAAGAGAGGAATACAAGTGAAACCTGAAATGATATTTGGTAGGTATTTAAATGCATGCAGGGTCTCACAGCAATGCAGATCACTTACTGAGCATTCACCTGGGCTGTGTAATCCACACAGCACCCTGAGTGCAGGTACCATCATGGACCAGATCAGGAGACCAAGGTTTGGGGGACATTGAGCAACTAGCCCAAGGCCACAGAGCTAGCACCAGACAGGATGTAAACCCAGCTTAGTCAGGCCCCAGAGCACAGGCCCTTTTCACTACACTGCAGCGCTGAGGCAGACTGCAGGGGAGCCTGACTCTGGCCCTGGCCTTAAGGAGTTTATGGGTCAGGCAAGATGGGCTCAGGCGCAGAAAACTGAGACTTAACCCATGAGTGCTCGAGGCAGCAAGGACTACAAACCTATCTCCTCTACCAGTGGCCACTCCTCAAAGGGCACCAAGAGACACAGCCAGCTGAGCGTCACAAGCAGCAGCTTCTTGACTGACTCAACGGGAATGACCTGTGCAGCCCAAAGGGAGGGCCAGGAGCCCAGAGGAAAAGCTAAGGCACAGCTAACAGTGGTACTCCTTCCTCTTGGGCATCCTGCCAAGGTCATGAGATACAGATTGAGGGGCTGGGACCCTGGCAGGGGACACTGCTAGAAATTATCCAGAGGCTGTATTCATGGAGGGCCTCATAAGCTGGAGATGCAGGAGAGAAACCTTCCAAAAGCCCAGGCAAGCCAGCTGCAACAAAGCAAGACTGTCGCTAAACATCCAATTCCTTCATCATACATCGTTCATGTCATCTCTGAAATTTCCCAGGGCCTGACCACAGCAGGTCTCAATATCTGCTCCTCCAACTAGACTGGATCAATTACTTCCAAAAACCATCCAACGTACCCCTTCCTGCAAGTTATATTAGGTTGTTCAGACAGGCTTCACCACCAAGGAAACCATTCCCTTTGGGTATTCACCATTCTATTAAATCAGCTTCAACTTGACACTGGTCAGCAGCTGAAAGTCCAATAAACTAATATAAAGTAAAAAAAAATTTTTTTTCAGACAGGACCTGGCTCTGTGGCCCAGGCTGGAGTGCAGTGGCATAATCCCAGCTCACTGCAACCTCCACCTCCCAGATTCAAGCTATTCTGGTGCCTCAGTCTCCTAAGTAGCTGGGATTATGGAAGTGTACCACAAGCCCAGCTAATTTTTGTATTTTTTGTAGACATGGAGTTTCACCATGTTGGCCAGGCTGGTCTCAAACTCCTGGCCTCAAGTGATCCACCCACCTTGGCCTCCCAAAGTGCTGGGATTACAGGCATGAGCCGCCGTGACCGGCTATAAAGTAAAATTAAAGGAAATATAAACTCTTGTTGACAGAGTCACAAATATCCCAGTTATCTAATTTAAAAGAAAACAGAAAGTTATCCTAAGAAAAAAGTGAAGATTTATGTAAGATGATGTTCATCAAAATGATGAGCGATAGCAAAATGGTAAACATAATTAAAACATCTTACAGCAGGGGCTGGTTAAATAAATTATCAAGGAATAACATGGAGCATGAAGAAGCAGAGTTTCAAAGAACATTAAATGATGTGGGGAAATGCTAATAATATAAAGTTGAGCATAAAGAAATAGGATGTAAAACTGTATAGAGGGTGTGATTTCTACTTAGCAAAATATGTCTGTTGTATGTGAAGGTAAGAAGGAAATAAACCAAAATGTTAATAGTGGATCGGCAGACAGCTGGTTGGTTAATTTATTTTTTCTCTTTTGTTTTTCTATAGTCTCCAAATGTTCTGAGAAAAAACGTCTTACCGAGTATGTGGGGGATGTGACCACCAAGCCCACTGGTGCTGTGCCCTTGCTGAACTCAGGAAGTGAGCCAGGGTCAGGGTGGGGGCCCACAGCCCGCCCTCTGCTGAGTTGGCTCCTCTGGGTTTTCAGGAAGTTGCTGTACCAAACGCTGGCCACTAACTTCTCTTTTGAGACAAGGCACTGAGGCACCAGATGGGCCAGGAATGTGGCCGACTGAGGAAAAAACCAACGGGTCTGGCACAGAGCAGCAAGGGTGGCCGGTGCTCACGGAGCCTGAGGCATACTACAGACTGTGTCTCCGCCAGGCCTCGGGGAAACCCGTGAGATGAAAAGGAGTTGATCCCACTCTCAGAGGATGCCATTTTCTATTCCATTTTTGCGCCACTGGCCTGGAATTTTCCCCATCTCTAGGGAAATCATAGAAGAAAGGGAAATCGAGAGGCAGCTAAACCATCCCTCCCATCTGCCCTTCCTTTCCCATGGCCAGCCTGCGATCTTGGTGCTTCTTGAAGGAATCCCTCAGGGCCTCCCTACTCCAGGCCTACCTCTTCACTGCCTCTAGATAACTTCCTGAAGCCCCCACCTATTGTGGCCTATTTGCTTCAGTTGTCACCCGCTGCTTCTGGGAAAGAAGACAAGCATTTCAGACTGGCACCCGGGCCCATCTCCTCATCATTTCCCCCAACAAACCCTACACTCCAGGTAGCAAACCTCCTATGACAGTGGAGGTCAGAAAATAATCACATAGAATCAAAACCATCCTTGAAGAATTCCTGAACCAGCCCACAAAGTACACCTCCTCCACCCAGCTTTGTGTAGACAACCCAAAAGGGTAATTCTTATGCACCAGCGATTCTTTATAAAACTAAAGTTTAAGTAACTAGACTGCAGGAGCAAGCACAGGTAAGACCTATATGCAGAAAGGCTGGAAGTCCAACTTGCTGGGCCTTGAGGTAACCACCAAAACCCAGGGACATCAGAGCTGGGTGATGAATTCCTACAGGACCTACTCCTTCTATGTTACAGAGTAAGCTTCTATGGCCTATAAGATTTGTTGTAGGGAAGAGTCGAAGAGTCAGTTTTTAACTGTGAAGAGAAGTTGTAGCTTCCCCCAACATCAGCTCTTTCACTCATTCACACCCTTGCAAAGGTCTGGAATGTTCTTTTCCTGCCTTTATCCTCATTTCACCAAGAGTCTCCTCATTTAAAAAGCCAACTCAAAGATCCTCTGAAGATACGCCTTCTCCTAGCTCTATGATTGTACAGCACAGAGGTACCTGAACTTTATGGATCTGCTTACACATCTACTTCTCCTCCTAAAGCCACAGACTCTCAAGCACAGCCCCAGTGTGGCTCCCCAGTGCCTAGCACAGAGCAAGGCACACAGCAGACCTTAGTCAGTGGTGCATGAATGAGGGAGTGGATTGCAAACTGCAGATAAAAGCTACAAGAGGATGTGGTGTCCCCTTGGACTCACCTGTCTTTTGTCCTTGGCAAAGGTGAGTCTTCCTTGGCCAGGTAAGTCCAACCTGGGCTGTGCCCTGAACTGTCTGCCCCACCTGGGCCATGTGGCCATGTGTGACTCAGCCAGGAGATGGGTTGGCAGAGTCATGTCTAAGACACTCTGAAAATGCAAAGCACTGTTATTGTGTATCAACACCAGCCAGGTGGCCACTTGTTCAGTCTGCAGGCAGATAATATTGTAATTGTTTCTATCTTTATCGCTTTGAGAAGTACAATATGAGAAAAGTAAAAACAATCAAGGCTATGTTTAGCCCTGTGTTTTCCCCATTCGCTCAGGGAACAGAAAGCGATTTGTTGGGTCAGATCACCAGACAAAAGAAACAGGAATAGAAGCTAATTTTTAATGGCAAACTGCCCCAAGCGCTAGGCCCTCACGTCACACCGTACAAAGGGCCTCGGTAGGCCTCCAAGAAGAGGATATGGGGTGCCCCTGCCCCCTCCATTCAGTATCACTTCTGCACAAACAACTATAACTCTTTCAAGTCACAATGGCCATGATGTAGGAGTCTACTGAGCAACAGTCACTTGGTGTAGCGGAAAGGGCAAGGACCTGGGTTCAAACCTCAGCTCTGTTAGTTACTCAGTTCCTCATAGCTATTATGAGAATTAAACA